TCCACCTGATGATTCCTATACGGATGAAACAGACTGTTGTGGTTTTTTGAGGTAAAACGAAAACTATATTACGCTCTATCTATATGGTATTGAGCACTGTTTGTGTTTCGTAAACCAAAATCTTAATATATATATATATATATATATATATATATATATATATATATATATATATATATATATATATATATATATATATATATATATATATATATATATATATATATATATATATATATATATATATATATATATATATAGCCTCGTTTATTTATACTAATGACAAATAATCTATAATCGGACGATTAACTTGAAAAAACAAAAGATTGTTCATTGTATATAATCGCGGCAATATTATTTCCAGATTCCTTCATATAAATTACTAAAACGTTACCTCCATGAGCAAAACAAAACTTCAACTTGGGAAAACGTTCGAGAACACCACCAAATATAAGACAACACATTGCTGCCGCAGTCTCGGCTGGCATCCCTTCAAGGAAATGAAGAATTGAAATCAACAAAAATGAAAAATTTGTGCCGTCGAAACTGATTACATCCCAAAAGTGCTATGGATTTATGCTGACGAATGTTTCCATCAATGTTTTCAACAAAAAGTTTAACAAATAATTCTTGTTGGCATCACACGTGATTCAATAATAATTGAACGGTCTTGTAGATGGAAAATATCGAGTGGAAATTTATAGACCCATTGCACATGACGTCACAGCGCCGGTGACGATGCATCTGGAGGACAAATTAGCAATCTATGCATAATATAACTTTTGTAAACAAAGCAAATTTTGTAAAACTTTATAATAATTTTGTATTAAAATGGTTAATTTTTGCGCTGTGTGTGGTTGTTGTACTCAAACAAATATTGTTAGGGAGCATCGGAGGACACTCTAAAAGGATTTATGACGTCAGTGCAATGGGTCTATATCAATTTATCAGACCTATAACCAGGAACAGCTGCAAAAAGTGCATTTGTAGTTCCATTTTTCGCAGGTGTTCCTGGTTAGTTCTAATAAATGTACATAAATTTTTAGTTCTAATAAATATACATAAATTTTTAGTTCTAATAAATGTACATAATTTTTTAGTTCTAATAAATGTACATAAATTTTTAGTCCTAATAAATGTACATAAATTTTAGTTCTAATAAATGTACATAAATTTTTAGTTCTAATAAATGTACATAAATTTTTAGTTCTAATGAATGTACATAAATTTCTACTCGATAATTTGCATCTACAAGATCCTTCAATGATCTTACCTACTAACCAAGGTAACCAGTATTTTTTTGTTCTTTCATTCATTACCATATCCCAAGGATGAACAAATATACACGCACCTAATTCCTCAGCAGCCTAACCATGCATATAAGACAAAGAAACAAGCTTACTTTTGTGACATGTTTATCATATGTACAGCAGTGTGGAGTAATGGATTCTCACTTTGATATGTCACGCTATAGTTTTTTCTCAATGCTATAACATATGATGATCTTATATTTTCTTTTTGCCTTGCAGTTGTTAAATCCAGAAAATGTGTACATCTCCTGCAGGCAAATCTGTAACTAAACGACTTTAAAATAAAATCGAAAATTTGCAGTCTAAAATTCGTCTTAATTCAAATATTGATTTTCAAGACGACTTATTTTTTGGAATTTGCTTTTTCTTATATTTTTTAATCATATCCCTAGTTTGCCTTTCTACGGGCAAAAAGGGCAATATACAAAGATACTAATAATTAAATATAAACATGGATGTATCATGCACTCTGCCAAACAAGCGAGGCGCGAAATAGACCGTATAGACGCCGAGAGTGCCGGTCTAGACAAGGTCTTTCTGGACAGTTTGACTTACAGCGAAAATTGGACGGAGTTCGGGAGCATCTAAATTCCATTCATTTATATGTGTAGCAATTTGAATTCCTGGAAATCCCAGCTCCTAAATTGTAAAAATCGTTTCATTACTCATGTCAGGACACTATGCACATGCATGAAAGCGCCCTTATTGACAACCATGTTTATAACTATCGCTAACCACATGTTATATAGTTTAGCCAGTTTACATGCTTGGCATCTTTACCCATTCCATTCTATTCTATTCCATTCTATTGCACTCCATTTCATTTCATTCTCTATTCTACTCTATTCCATTATTTTCCATTCAATTCTACTCCATTCCACTTCATTCCATTCAAGCAATGTGAAAATGTTAATTGGCTGTCAAGTGACAACAGGCATTAACATGCATGCATTAGGTGCTGTATTGCCACTATCTTCCATTGTAGTGCCATTGGAGTCAAGAACAATATCACGTTATATAAAATAAGAAAATAAAAGAGACATGCAAGGAACATAAACACATTCGCTTTAAGTAACTAGTAATGAATAGACAATGACCAGTAGAAGAATACCTTGACACATCTTTTTAGTTCTTTTACAGCTAGTTCAGGAGCCTGGTGGAAAAATTATTCACAGCATCACTCACAAAACACACGATAAATAATAAATTTCCACTCTTGTCTCTAGGGTCGAGAAAACTCTTTGGGAAAAGGTTGTTAAACGTACTTACAATGCGACTTTACGAAGTTTACCTGCATTGGTAATGTTCCCAACCCTACGAACCTCTTCGGGTAACATGAGACTTTCTTTGCAATATCATCGTTTAAAATTTTACACAAGTCAAGAGTGTCCTCGGGCTTTGCCTAAAGAATAAAATTATTAAACAGAGTAATGCATATAATCCACTATATGTTTTTCAGTATTAAAAGAAGTGGCGAAGCAAGCCTTAGGTCATGAAAATGTTTAATGATTTGCATTATTGAAACGGTGTGTGCCAGCGTACAAAAACAGCAGAGAAGATGGATTCCACTTGCTGTCTTTAACCTATTTCGATGCTAGATTGTTAGCATAGCATGAGCAGTTGCCATGGCTACCTTGCGACTGTGAAAAAGATCTTACCCAGTAACTAAACATAACAGGAACAGTTGACAATACTTGAATAGTAACACCTGCAAGATTGAAAAATACGTTATAGCGAACAATATTTCATAAGCTAAATATAAATTTCATGAACAAAATATAAATTTAAGCAATCAGCATTTAGCAGCACCGTATCGCACACACGTGAATTTCTTGTAAATTTAAATTAAAAGTGATCAAGAGCAACTGCGCTAGCATATTGCTTTCGAACACGACGATAGTTGATGGTAAAACAAAGTGAGAGCAAGGCACGATTATCATCAACTACATTGCAAAGACTGTACCTGCTTCATCCATTTCTTTCATTCTTGCTTCTGGACACCAACAGTTTTCATCAATAACACGGAACAGTGTTTCATCTTTCCACATTTCAGCTTTCCCCTTAAGCAATCGAAATGTGCTTTGTGAAAAGCGCACAAATCTATATGTATCTGATCAGCAGGGGAAGCAGGGGTGGATCTAGCCTCGTCTGCAACATTGGGTGGTGCAATGGGAAGCCTTACTACCCATTCTCCTCTGCACCCTGCAACGCTACCATCCATTACCATTATTATAGAGACGGCCGAATCTGCATGTTCGCCGTTCTGTACGTTTTACATTATCTTTTGTTTCTAAACTAAGTTTATATCGGCTTGTTGCGACGTATGCGCGACTGGACAGTTGCTGTAGCACGGTACAGTAAAGTTGCTTGTTAGATTGCAGTATATTGGAAATGATGGCTGTACAAGAATCTCGACATGATATTTTCTTGTGTTCGTGTAATATACTCAGGTGAATAAGATGCTTGTGATGTTACTCTGAGTGTATATCCACACCGGGCAGGCCTGAAAAATATGCCTGGGCACGGTGGAAATGAACCTACGACCTTTGGAATACTAGCCCAATGCTCTGCCAACTGAGCTACGCGGTCAGGTCGGTTCGAGTATGTGATATTTCGGAACTGAGTCTAGTTCCTTCGATATCTATGTAATCTAGTAATCATGATATATTCTTGTGTTGGTGTAATGTACTCAGGTGAATAAGATGCTTGTGATGTTACTCTGAGTGTATATCCACACCTGGCAAGCTTGAAAAATATGCCTGTCCACGGTGGGAATGATTGTATTAGATTGCATTGATATCGAAGGAACTAGATTCTGTTCCGAAATATCACATACTCGAACCGACCTGACCGCGTAGCTCAGTTGGCAGAGCATTGGGCTAGTATTCCAAAGGTCGTAGGTTCGATTCCCACCGTGGCCAGGCATATTTTTCAAGCCTGCCCGGTGTGGATACACACTCAGAGTAACATCACAAGCAAATCTCGACATGTTTATTTTCTTTCTGTGGCGTTCCACAATCCATTGATTCGTCATTGCCTTCAATCCAAGCCTTTAAAGACATGCTTGACAGTCGACTCAACATGCAAGAAAAAAAGATTGAAGCCCAGATAAAGGATCTTAATGATGTTGTCCGCAAGCAACATAAAAAGTCTCAAGAAGAAATGCTAGTCATTCAAAATAGCCAAAATTTTATTGGTGCTAAATTCGATGAACTATTAGCTGCAGTAAACTGATTAAAAGAGGAAAACAATCAGTTGAAAGTCGAAAATGAAAAATTAAAGTGCGAGATGAATCAAATGAGTTCGAAAATACTTGAGTTAGAGGAAGCGCAAGAAGATCTTAAATTATATTCTCGAAGGGATTGCCTGGAATTCCAAGGCGTACCCGAAATGCCAAGTGAGAATACTGATGAGTTGGTTACTGAAATGTGTAAGTTAATTGCAGTCGACATTCAACCTTCAGATGTCTCAGTGAGTCATCGTTTACCATCTAGAAAAAGTACTACGCCTCCAATAATTGCTAAATTTACTAGATGCTGTATACCATAATAAAGGTCGTCTGAGAGGTCTCAACTCATCAAATTTTGTTGGTATTTCGCAATCAGTGAATAAATTATATATATTTAACGAAAGCTTGACACCTAAAGCCAAGGAGCTATTTTATAAAGTGAGGGAATTCCCATATGGCAAGTCCTATGTGAAGAAAACTGATACTAATGCTGCTGTATCATTCAAATCAATGAAGGAGTTTGAGTTGTTCAGTGCAAATTTTACACCCTAGCTCTCTATCAAGCTAAGTAGGGTAATTCTAAATAATTTAATGTATATTAATTTTATTTATCATGCAGTCTTCAATGCCAATGAATGCTTTGCCTTTTCATGGTCTTGACGACTCCGAATTTTTCTTAGAAATGTTTGAGTTAAAAAACGGCCCTATTAATTTCAGTCATGAGAGATTAATCAGTTTAAATTATAATCCATTGATTTCGGGTGCAGGCCATCGCCCCTTTCTGTCTAATGATCTGGACCCAGATTCACACTTTTATGATAATTTCGTTAACCACTGCGATTATTTTGTTGAAGATCAGTTTAACAAAATGTTAAATTCACAGATTTCCTGTGCTCCCAGTTTTTCATTATTTCATCTAAACATCCGCAGTCTTGAAAGTAATTTATCAAATTTAACAAATTTATTAAGTACTCTGAATATTGAATTTTCAGTAATTGGGATAACTGAAACTTGGCTAAAAAACTCAGGACACTCTGTTGATATTGAGGGATATATATATTTTTCATAAACACAGGGTTAATAAAATTGGTGGAGGTGTTGGTTTGTACTTGTCGGATTGCTTTACCTCTAAAATACGTACTGATTTAATTTTTGATGACGATGATGTTGCGGAATCCTTATTTATTGAAGTTTGCATACCACATGGTAAAAATATCATTATTGGAATAATTTATCGACCACCAAATCAAAATGCCAATTCTTTTATAGGAAGTATAATGATATAATAGGAAAAATTTCTAATGAAAATAAAACCTGTTATATAATGGGGGATTTTAACCTAAATTTATTGAACTATGACAGTCATTCCTTGACTTGTGAATTTTTAGATGGAATGTATTCAAATATGTTTATTCCACTTATAACTTGTCCAACAAGAATAACAGCTCATACTTCAACATTAATCGATAACATATTTACGAACAACTTTTCTTCCATATCTACAAGTGGCCTGTTATTTACAGATATTTCTGATCACTTGCCTGTGTTTTCAATTAGCTGTGAAGGCATGAATTATTGTGATAATACTAATGAAAAAATTACTTTTAGAGATAAAAACAAAACTAATATTAATAAATTCATTTAGCAATTGGGTAGTATTAACTGGTCCCAACTTAAATACTATGATGAATACTATGATTCTTAAATACTATGATTCTTACAATACTTTTTTAGCTAAGTATACAGAAATTTATAATAACTGTTTTCCTTTAAGAAGAATAAAGATAAAACATCACAAGATTGACAAGCCTTGGTTATCAAAAGGTTTGCTAAGATCCATAAAAAGGAAAAATAAACTATATAAACAATATATAAGTGACCCAACTCTTGCTAATGAGATATCTTATAAAAGGTATAAAAACAAATTGACCCACTCCTTGAGAATTGCTAAATCATTATATTACACAAAGAGATTAGAAAATGAAAAATCAAACATTAAATCTACTTGGAAGACACTTAATGAAGTCATAAATAAGAAGCGGTCAAAATCGGTTGAAATTCCCATCATCATTTAAAGTAGATAATTTTGAAATTTCTGATCCTATAGAAATTGCTAATAGACTTTGTAACTATTTCTCAAATATAGGTCCAAATCTTGCTAAAAGAATACAATATACTCCTAACTCTCATCTAAATTCTCTTCTAGGCCAATATCCTAATTCCATATTTTTTAACCCGGCAACAGAAAATGAAATCATTGAGATTTCTAAAAGTTTTCAATCAAACAAAACATATGGATATGACAAAGTTCCCATGTTAATAATAAAGCAAACTATAAACATAATTGCTAAACCTCTAACTCATATTATCAACTTATCTATTACTCATGGTATTGTGCCAAATGAAATGAAGATTGCTCGTGTTATTCCCCTATTTAAATCAGGTGATAGAACACTATTTACAAATTATAGACCAATTTCTATTCTTCCTAGTTTCTCGAAATTTCTGGAAAGAGTTATATATAACCGGATGTTAAATTACCTAAATAAAAATAGTATCTTGTCTGAAAACCAATATGGTTTTAGAAAAAACCATTCCACTTCTTTAGCCCTGGTGGATCTTTATGATAAAATATCACTAGCAATTGATCAAAAAGAGTTTGCAGTTGGTGTATTTTTAGACTTATCTAAAGCCTTTGACACTTTAGATGACAAAATACTTTTTGAAAAGCTTGACCATTACGGAATTCGTGGATTAGCTTTGGACTGGATGAAGAGTTATTTCTCAAATAGAACACAATTCGTTCAATTTAATGATTACTGTTCCTGTCCTAATAAAATACAATGTGGGGTCCCACAAGGTTCTATCCTTGGTCCGCTGCTCTTTTTAATATATATCAATGATATAATCCATG